CAGCCGGTGAGCGCGGGTCGTTTCCAAGGCAGGGGGGAGGGGGGCGCCGGTCGGGGGCGCTGCAAAGATGCCGGACGGACGGCCGCTGGCGCGTCCTGACGCAAGATGCAGGCGGCGGGCGGTGCGAAGCGCCCCGTTCGGGCTCGCGGGCTGAGCTGGCAGGCGTTGCTGGGTTCAGTAAAGCAGCCTCGACAGCTGTATCCGCCGCTCGCTCTGGAATTCAAATGCTTCCCGCCTCGAGCAAACGCAAGCAAGCATGCAACCGAGGGGCAGCCCCGACCCGCCCACCAGTGGGGCTCTGCGAGCTGGACGGGCGCGATCTCCCAGGCTTTCGCGTCCTTGCGCCAGAGCCTGATTGCCCTGAGGCCATCCTTCAAGTAGCCGCCCACATCAGCGTCGCCGCCTGTGGGGGGTGATAAGGGGTTTGGGAGGCAACACATTTGGGCGGCGAGGGCATGGCGGTGGGAGCCAGGCGGAGCAGTGCTGAGCGGGAACGCATCAGGTCGGACCGCGTGCAACAGGGTACGCCGCCTTCACCAGTGATCGGTGAGGGGCTTCGCCCCGGGCTCTGGCCCCGGCTCGCCTTCCGTCAACCCCTGCATGCATGAAGCGCTTCGCTCGCTGCCCCTGGGTCGGTTGTGTACAATTGAGTGACCTGCAAAAATGCCACGCGCGCACCTGTCGCTATGATGGTTCCATCCGATGTGTGGGATTGGCCGGTGCAGAAGGGCGCAAAGTCCATGGGCGTGGCCTTTGGGAGAGGGGAGGGTGATGAAGCATCGACGTCAGCACGGTGGCAGGGGGGTTGGCGGTGGGCTGGCAGGGAGTGGCGCGTGGTGAAGCTCTGCTTGTGTATGTTTTGAGGGCGCTCGTGTGTGTGGGTGTTGGCGGCGGAGAGCTGGCACCGGGACAATCCTCTGTCCAGTACGGCGGCCTTGATATGGGTTTGCGCTTGAAGAGCAGCCCGCAAAACTCAAACGAGGCAGGCACAAACGCGGCACGCGCGCGTGCCAGCGGCCACGAGGCCTTGAGCAGGCAGTCCCAGCAAAGTGATGGCTAGCGGCGCGAAGCCCGTGAGCCCACCACATAGGTTCCCGTAGCGGTGTCGAAGACGCTCGAAACCTCCCCGCGGCCGTTTGGCGACATGCCAGCCTGATAGGCCACGCCCTGCGGCAGGCGGCGCGACCAGACCACCACCTGCGCACGGGCGTGCGCGTGGGCGTGCAAGCGAGCGCGCAGAGGCGCACCTGAGCCAGAGGTTGCTTTGGCGATTGACGGCCGCACGACATAAAACATGATGTCTCTAAAATTGGATCCCAAGACATGATCACGCCGTCACCAAGGTGCCCACAGAGGGCCGCTGCGAGCACTGGCGGCCCATGCTGCGCTGAGCACCCCAGCCGCCCGTGTCGGCCAACGCGCGGCTGCTCAGGCACTCTAGTTGGGACGCGCCGTGCAATCCACATAGAGCGTAAAAGACTGAGTTGGTCGCCCCGATGCCCCACCTTTTCCGTGCCGGGGATGAGGGCCGCGTGCATCGCGATGGTGCCGGTGCTGGAGTGCCCTGCGCAGGCATCATCGTCGCCGGCGGGCGGCAAGGGCGGCGTTGATGTGGGGATGCGCGTTTTGGGGCGAGAATACCATGCAGTGCATCTGAGAGCCTCGCAGGAAGCGCGCGCCGCCGCGGCTAGCGCGAAGCGGGCGCGTCAGGCCCGGCCTGCCCCAGCCGCGAGGGCGCCGGAAGTGCAGCAATAACAATCGGGAACCACAGCACCAAAAGAGTCCCGCTGGCGGGTGGAAATCGGGCCCTGCTGCGGGTCAGGAGCGCCAGAGTGCCCAGCTGTTTTGTGGCCGCAGCGCTCCCCAGGCGCTGGGTCTGCGAGATATTTACACGTTGATATTTTGCAGTCCAGCTCACCATCGGGGCCCACGATCAGCTGCCAGGCGCCGGTGACGTCGGGTCCCCCCTGGAGGTTAGTAACAGTGAGTGCGCAGGCAGGTGGGGGTGCTGGGCGTGAGGAAGCATTCATCAAAAAGAGGCGCCGCTGTTGACACATTTGTTGGGGCCGTTGCCCATTGCTCTTTTGTACATGTCGTGATCGTTGATAATCCAAGGGGCCCTCAGCTGCATCATGCTTCATGGCGTGATGGAATCAATGCAGGCGAGCTGCGACCCCGATGGACGCCTGCTATTCGGGCGGTCACGCGTTGCGCCGCCTCTCACGCCTGCTCACCTGCAGCGGCTGCAGCTTCAGGTTGAAATCAAGGGCGTCATACGGGTGCGTGGGTGACACCCGCTGGTACTGCGGCTTCCCGGCAGCTGCCGGCGCGCCCCTGGTGCTGTTGCCGCCCGCGGCGGCGGGCGCGGGGGCGGGGGAGCGGCCGACGCGACGGCCGAGCGGCATGGCGCGGGCGGCGCCGGCGGCGGGGGCGGCGGCGGGGGCGCTGGTGCCCACTGCAGGAGCAGCGGCAGCGGGGTCTTGGGCGCCCTTGTACCCTGCAATCGCAGTGCACACCTGTGGATGGGAATTGGCGGCATGTTGGGCGCACGCAGGCAGGTTTTGCGCAGTTTATAGGCAGGGGAAGTGGGAAACTCCTCGCTGTTGCAACGCCCAGGTTTGGGACAGGTAAGTTTGTGCGGGCACGGCGTGGCAGGCATTGAGAGTTGCGCGCGAAGAATGCGTGGTGTGGTTGGACGATTGCGTCGGATGTGCTCAAGCGGCAGGGCTGCCCGTCTGCGGTCCCTTCAAAGGCTCAGGCAATCCATGAGCACGAGCGAGGTCGCACACAACCACCTGCGTGCCGCAGGAACGTTTCATATGGAATACGACACTCACCCAACCATGAACGTCAAAGCAAGGAAGCCGCACCTGATCGGCCCAGTCCGTTGTCACAGGTGCAACCCCAGCTGCAGGGCAGACCATGGTCTGTGTGCTGAGCTGGCCCTGAGTCCTGCGGCGGCGCAGAAGTTGGCAACAGCAGCGGCGGCGGCAGCGGCAAGACACGCAGTCAGTTGCCGAGTTCTCCCTCTCGAAGTTGCTTCATCAACTTGATGCCGCTGTCAAAACGCGCTAGAGACTGAGCCGGTCCCCGCCTGGCTGCGCGTTTTTTTAATAGCAGGCGTCCCCTTTCGGACCGCTTCCTGATAAAAGTGCAACTGCAAGGCGGCAGGCTGGCGGCCCCAAACTGAGAAACGGCGAGGCGTCATCGCCCGTGGTGGGTGACGGGGCTTTGACTTGACTCACCTGGTGCACTCGCCGGTGGCCGGTGAGTAGTAGCTGTTGGTGGCGTTTGCGTCCGAGTACACCTAGGCAGGTGGTGGGGTTGGGGTGGGGCCGGGGTGGAACATATTCATGGCAGGGAGGGACCCAAGACCATTTGAGCAAGTGGATTGAGCAAAACAAGCAAAGCGATGAGGGGTCGGGTGGATGGGTGGATGGGGGTGTGGGGGCACACACCATGTAGGGCATGGGGGAGGAGGGCACCCTGCAGGCGTAGTGCACCGCCTGCCCCTGGCAGCACACAAAGTACTGGTTGCAGCTCTGGGGGTCCGGGACCTGGACGGGGGGGGGGTGTGGTGTTGGCAGGGGCGTCGGGAGGGAGGCGCAGAATTTGTGCAGAGGATAGCTTCCGATTCATCCTCCGCAGGGCCTCAGCTGGCGCGACAACAAAGCCCAAGGACGCGCCCTTGTTTGACGGTGTCCCGCCCCAGTCTATTCTCTGATGGCTCTGCGCATCTGCAACCAGTCGTCGTCACAGCGATGGCTGGTGTGTACACGCTGAACCAGTCAGCTGACTGGTTCAGTCAGCTGATATACAGCAGTGCCTCTTTTGGGCCTTAAAGGCTCACCTGCACCGTGTCGAGCAGCTGCCCATCCACGCTGCATGGGTTGGGGCCCGTGTACCGCAGCTGAAGCGGGTCGCCATCCAATGGGAGGCCGTCCCCGAGCGCCACAGCCACAAGTGCGGCAGCCGCAACTGCGTGCAGCAGCAGCTTGCCCAAGCTGGCGCGGGGTCGATGCATGTTGGCGGTTGCTGAGGTGCGGCTGCTGGCTTTTTCAGGGCTGGAGGTCGAGGATTCGAGGAGGACGACTGGAGGACGACTGGATATGATCGGGGCCGAGCCGGGCCTTTTTACCGGAGATAGCTCTCGGACGGATCGTTTTCCGTCCGCCAGCTTTCTGCGGACACGCAGCTGGGTACAAACACGGTGACAGCCGATCCAAGAGAGGTCGCGTTGACCGCCTCGGAGGTCGAACGAGCTCGTACTTGCAGGCTTTGCAACATAGAGGGCCCCAAATACACGTTTGGGGCCATGTTGAAATATCCTGGAGTGTGATCGAAAAAGGCACATGATGGGAGCAGCATCTGTTGTTGGTAGGAGCAACAGCGTTGTTGCCAGCTGTGGACAGGCACACAGGGATGCGGCCGCCAACACGTCCCCACAGATTGTTGCTATGATGAAAGCATACCACCTCTGGCGGCAGCTATAAACAAGATGCATGCTTTGATTGTGCCCTCAGCCCACCTCCCGGCGTGGCAATTCGACATGCAGCGTGCACCCCAGCTGCTGGGGCAAACTTCTGCAGTGGCAGGGTGGCTGCAGCGGGATAAGAAGGTATACATCGTCATGCATGTGCATAAATACTCATAAATTGCATCAGTCTATGAGTAGGGTTGCCGCTGGCCGCGAGGCGTCTTTGCAAGTCATCAATGCCACGTCTGCTTGCCGAGCAAGAGCAAGGCTGCAGCAGCCTGGGCGGCCCCAAGCGGGACGCCCCAGCGCCGCAGGCGTGGCGTATAAGACTCACCTTTCCTGTGTGTCTGCTTTCACTGAGGGTCTTTTATTCGGGATGCAGGCACTGGCTGGTAGCCTGGGTGTCCACTGCGCCAACCCTGGAGCTGTGTTGAAGGCAGAGCAGCTGGGGCCCACCCTGGCAGCCATCCGGCAGAGTAATCATAGTTCCGTGTGCAGTTGAGATGGTATCTGCATGCTGATCAGTTGTGGCAAAAATCTGCAGAGGCTCTGGCGGTAGGAGCCTAGAGGACTTTGGCAGCTGGGGCTGGACGCGCAGGCAGAGCTTGCAGCACGTGCACTCGGCATGCCGCATCTGCGGTCCGGCGGCGTCACAAGCCCACCACGGCCTGTGCACGTAATAGATACAGATTCCATCGTATTATTCAGAAGCTTGGTTCGTGATGTGATATCTCCCTACACACTCATCTGAGATAGATCACCAAAAAATGAGAACTCGTTTGTCACGGTGTAACCGTTGTGTTCAGGTTGAGCAAGGGTAGAATGTGGACGTATACATGAGCTGCGACCGTGTGCAGGCCATCTCCTTGCTTGGCACGCTATCATACCCAGGTGTCACCCAGGTGATGCAGACAGAAAGGACGTGTGCGGCAATGAGGTCGCCACAGCGTGTTTCTGTGCGTTGCTCGACAGGCTTTGTAAGCATCCCTCACGGCGATTGGGGTGCATCACGTTGCTGAGTGTCCGTTCGCCCTGCGTCGGTACGGTCAATCGCGCTGTGCTGTATGCACCTTGCTCATCGCCACGTCCCGCTCATTGCGGCGAGCTGTGCGACACAGAAATAACCTTTCGATGGTCCACCTTGAGAGCAGAAGGTTTTTATGGCATCCCGAAGGTCCTGATGGGCACATTTTCGGCGAGTCGAGGTCAGGGGGGGGGGGGAGCGCTCACGTGTCCAGCGTTGGCCGGACAATTTGACCAACGCATGCAGAGGCGGTGAGCGTATGATATCAATTAAATGATTTGATGCCGCACTCTCAAGCGATGGGACAGCGTCTCGGGGCATACAGTGCCGCGGTGAGGTTTGCGGTGCGCGGCTGGCCAACTTGCTGCAGCTCACGCCCAGGTTCCCGCCGCATTCCCAGGTGATTCCCACGCTTCTCATGCTTTCTGTGCGCGCCGTCGCTCAAAAGCTTACATAATGAGTGTCACAGCGCGTTGATTGGATCAAGATTGTGCGACGCGGTCACCGCGCTGTCACGCGAGAAGGGGATTAGGCAGTTGCATGCGCAAAGAAAATACCTAAAACAAAAACATGCATTCTTGGCGCCGCCAGCACCACGAGTTGCGGTGCTGTTGATCGTGGTGCCGGGACTGCCAGTCAGGGACTGCAGGTCGGAGGCGGTTCGGCGAGGCAGCATCGGTGAGAGGGAGGTGTGAAAAGCATTCTTGGAATCCTGTTACATCAACGGGCGCACTGATGTTGCAGCGCGCCCACATGACGGACGTTCAGAGGCACGGTGCCTGACGGCGGGCCTGCCCTGCTGCAGCACTGCAGCGGTCAGGGGGGCATGTTTCAGCACGACGTAGTGAGTGGGCCGCCGCATAACGCAGGGTGCTGTACCGCCGCCGCAGCAGGTGGGCAGCCACATCTCACTCACGTATACGCTGGCTTGACTTGATTTTGGCACTGCCAGCCAGGTGGCGAGCCTAATGGCGCGCCGGGCGGCGGTGTGCCTGGCAGTGGTGGCGCTAGTGGCGCACCTTGACACCTGCGCCCACGGTGAGGGGTGTTGGGGGCCCTGCACGAGCTCCTCCCCTCAATCACGCAATGCACAGCGGCCACCAGCAGCCGCTGCTGCACGCCACAGGAAGCAGCACCCGGTGTGAGTGGACTGGGTATTTGGCGCACGTTGCATTATAGACATGCGCCATTGGCGTCCTGCTGTGAGGATCGAGCGGTTTGTCGGATGCAGCAAGCTGGGCAGCTTCAGCGGTCCATCACATGGAAGCTCGCTGTCACCCACTCACTGGCGCAGGCGCGGCCGTCCTCGTGCCCCCGATGGGCCCAGACGTGCGGACCGAAAACGACGTATTCAATACGAATTTTGGGGTGCGGCACACGGCCGTGCGGTCCGCGTCGCTCAAAAAAAGGTCGGCGATGCAGTACTGCTTCGAGCTCACGACGGCGCCGCAGTACGGGGGCGCGGCCTGCGACCCGGCGAACTCGTCGTGCTGCACGACCGGCGCCGCCTCGAAGAGCGTCGAAATCGCAGAGCTGCAGCTTTTCACGAGTGAGGCTCCTGGGCGAGACGCAAACACTGGCCGCGTGCGCACGCGCGGTGTGCGCCCTGCATATTTGCAGCACGCGGGCCCTAACACAGATGCCTCTGCCGCATTTACATGGTGCAGAAACAGCATTCCGCCGCTTGAACCGCCAACCTGTCCCGCGCGCACACACCTGCCCCACTGCAGGCCGCACCCGTCAAACAAAATCATTTGTTGATTCAGGCAAAACGCCTATCTCCTCAGCACGCTCGACGTCACAGCCGCCCACGCAGCACCCGCCTTTCTGAAACGCCTCCATGCCCCCAACCACCTTCCTCCCCCCCTTTCAGACGCCGAGTGCCTCACTGGCAAGGAGGCGCGGCGGTCCTTCAAGCAGTTTGAATGGACGCTGGGCGGCAAGAAGGTCGGTGCAAGGGTGGACGCCGCTGTCAGCGGCATACGGCTGAGGAAGACGTGGTCAGAGTCCGCAGAGCTGTGTGTCGCGATACCGAGTGAGGGGGGCAGGCAGGGAGCGGGGGCAGGTCTGTGTCGCGAGACTGAGAGAGGGGGGCGAGGAAGGGGGGAGGGGATAGGGGAGGGTGCGCACAAGGAGCACGCGCAACCATGGGCGGATTCCAGCCTGCGCAGGACGCCGCATGTAGGGCACACGCTGAGGGCGGGCACGCAGGCTGGCCGAAACAGCAAGCGCACAAGTTGCTGCGATACTCTTTCAACGAATATGAATATCATGGGACAAGCTGGTGATTGTGTTGGTGGTTGAGAGGTCCATTTGGCTCATCGCGGCCGCCTGTCTGCTGGCTTCCAAACTAGCAGCACCTCAGAGGTCCAAGCAGCCAGCCAGAACACCTGGCTCACCTGATGCCGCACACTACAACCCCTGCAGGCGGCACGTCAAGTCCCTGCAACACGATCGCAAAAATGTGCGGGAGCAGCAACTGCCTGGCCGCCGCGGTCACCACCAAGTTTGTGCAGGCCGGCAGCTTCTCGCAAAAAAAGTCGGCCTGCAAGATCGCGGCCAGTGTCCCCATTGGTGAGCCGCGGCGGTCATTGGGGTGCTCCAGGTGGGTGCGCTGCTCAGCAGGCTGCACGGCGGGGGTCAGGTGGCGTGGTTGGCATGGCTCCAGAGATAATGACCGGCAAAGCACTACCCCATGACGCCAGGCTGAATGAGGCGAGCCAGGAGCAGGCGATTGTGGGACGTTGAATCGAGGGACTGCAGTTGGACCAAGGGACGGCAATCTCGCACACGCTCATGTTCCTCGGCCACATATGGCTCTCAAATCACTGCATACGCG